AATCAACGGACCATTGCCATTACAGGACGATTGTAACAAGATGTATTTGAGGCAAAGTTACCAAACAATGTGATTTTATGAAGTTGCTTTTCAGGGGAAGGATGTATGTATAATGGGTGAGGTGCTGAATCAGTGGTAGACTAGTCATTATATAAAATATGTTAACTGCAGGCATTAATTTAGAACTATCGCACAGGAACTATCGCATAGCGAATATTAAGACTGGAGTGTATATGGAGTTTAAGGAACTAAAAATGAGAAACTTCAGAATAAAGCTAATGAAGTATTGGAGCAAATAAAAATAAGCGCTACTTTTCTGATTTTTCTGAATTAAAGGAATCCCCCAATTTACGCTTCTTGATAAAGTCTCAAAATTTCCCATTAACAAGAAGTAACATAGAATAATCGATAAAATTCAAAGATCCAACAGATTCCTCGGTAGAATAAGTTTAATCAACAGACCATTGCCATTACTGGACGATTGTAACAAGATGTATTTGAGGCAAAGTTGCCAAACAATGTGATTTGTGGAGTTGCTTTTTGGGGTATAATGGGTGAGATGCTGAATCAGTAGTAGAATAGTCATTATATAAAATATATTTATGCAATATAACTGTTAACTGCAAGCATTAATCTAGAACTATCATGTAAGAACTATCGCGTAGTAGATCTATGATATCAATAAAACACTCGAAACAAAAGTCATACAATATTCACCATAGAATAATAACCCTTTTTAAAAATGTCTATTTTTAATACATGTAACTAGGGTTGGTAAAGTCCCAAGTCTAGGACCTAAAGACTTAGTCCTAGGACCAGGTCTTCTTTAAGTCTGATTTTTTGGATTAATTAAGATTCGATCCTAATAAGTCCTGACCATTAGAAAGTAAATAAATATATAAATATGCTAATCATATATATCATATTTTTAAAATTTTGATCCAATATGAGTTCATTCAACTTGGATGATGTGTTTGTTCCTGATATTGATGATATTGATAATACTGATAATAATATATCATGTAAAACATTTCCTTTGTGGTCTCATATAACATATAAGAATCTAACTCATTTAGGAGTACCTGTATGCAAAAAGTGTAATTATGCATTTTTTCTCAAGTCAGGTAACTTAAGTATCAAACACCATCTATTAAACAAACATAATATAATAATTCCAAAAGTCAAACAAACAACTTTAAAGTTTAAATGTATAGATCCTTTGCCTATAAAAGAAAGGTTAGAACAAGATGAAGTAATTGTTATTTGAATAATTTCTGATCAACTACCCTTTAGTATTATTAAAAGTAAAAAATTTATTAAAGCAATGAGTGTTTTTGATTCTTGCTATAAAGTTCCTGATCATTATCAAATAAAAGCAATGTTTATCTAAGAATTTAATCAACATTACTTAAATATTCATAAAGATTTAGAAAAAGTATCTTTTACTGCTAGAATATAAATTTCAACTCTGAGTAATAAAGTATATCTTAGTTTAACTATCCATTATATTTGAATATTATTTTTTTAAGTTAGTTTTAGTGATTAGTCATCAAAATATCTAATGTAAGTAATTATATATATAAAATATGCGAGTTTAATATCATATCCAGAATAAATCCCTTCTGGTTATATTTTAAGCTGTTTAAACTGCTGAATTACTAGCTATTACAATAAACTATATAAAATAAACACTTTATGGCTAACCCTTAATGTTATTATAGTACAATGAATTCTAGATAATTACTAAAAAGAGAAGTCTTTAATAACCTAATTTAAAATAGCCACTTAAAATAGCTATTATATACAGACTATCAAAATCACCATAAGAATTAAACTTAGGCTTCTTAAACCCTAGTTATGTTATAGACGTTATAATATTTTAACTAGAAACTACCTGTAATTTATGACTTTTGTTTAATTTAAGTTATTCAGCATTTACTATTAATCTGTTATAACTTATTATCAGGGATAATCTCCTTATAGACAATGTGACATTGCTATTATAGGTCAACTCCCTAACATAAGTTATAAACTCAATTAGTTCTATATGTATGTGATCACTTATGCAATTACACAAGTTTATTATATTCTACAAATTTGTAATCTTTGATGCACATAATTTATACACATCCTATGAAATTCTTTATTAAAATCAAACTAGTAAATCCTATAATAAATTAATACTGCAATCAGCACTTGATTGATACTAAACTAAAATCTATCATAGTGAAACTGCAAAAAAAACTTGTCTCTTATAGCTTGAACAAAGATGCCAATTTTTATTTGGATATTATAACATTTTTTGTTGAATATAATTCTTTTTAAAACTTATTATACAGTAGTTAATATATCAACTGCTATTAATAATATTTTTATAAATTTAATCTAGCAGATAAACTCTTATGCTTATTATAGATAATTAGTCTATAATATAAGGCCTTTACAATAGAAAGGGAGGAAACTCAAAAAAAAAATAAAAAATGAGTTAATAATAAATCTGAACAAATTATAGTATTTAAAACATTTTTGGCTTATAAACTAA